TTATTTTTACACAAGGTATAATAAAGGAGATCGACCCGACAACATGGCAGGCACTGTATACTTGTTTTGTTTTTCGTTTTTCAGGTACGGGCTGTACGTTGCCCAGGCTGTTATGGAACTCCTGAGTCAAGTGATCCTCCCACCTTGGCCTCCGAAAGTGTGTGGATTAGAAGCGTGACCTACCATATTCAGCCTACACGTATTTGTTAATATCTAACATAGGACTAACCAGCCACTGCCCTCTCTTAGGCCCCTCATTTAAAAATGGTTATACTATAAAATGTGCTTTTCATACTGGGTGATAATAACTTGGACAAATTCTATGTGTATTTTTTGTTTTGTTTTGCTTTGAGACGGAGTCTCGCTCTGTCATCTAGGCTGGAGTGCAGTGGCACGATCTCTGCTCACTGCAACCTCCACCTCCCAGGTTCAAGTGATTCTCCTGCCTCAGCCTCCCGAGTGGGATTACAGGCATGCGCCACCACGCCTGGCTAATTTTTGTATTTTCAGAAGAGACAGGGTTTCACCATGTTGGCCAGGCTGGTCTCAAACTCCTGACTGCAAGTGATCCGCCTGCCTTGGCCTTCCGAAGTGCTGAGATTACAGGTGTGAGCCACCGTGCCTGGCCCTATGTGTGTTTTTTAACTACTAAAAATTATCTTTATAATGATGGACTCTTTTTTTTTTTGAGACTGAGTCTTACTCTGTTGCCCAGGCTGGAGTGGAATGGTGTGATCTTGGCTCACTGCAACCTCCGCCTCGCGGGTTCAAGCGATTCTCCTGCCTCAGCCTCCTGAGTAGCTGGGATTACAGGCGCTCACCACCACACCCGGCTAATTCTTGTATTTTTAGTAGAGACAGGGTTTCATCATGTTGGCTAGACTGGTCTCGAACTCCTGATCTGGTGATCCGCCCACCTCGGCACCCTAAAGTGCTGGGATTAAAGCTGTGAGCCACTGTACCTGGCCCTATGTGTGTTTTTTAACTACTAAAAATTATTTTTATAATGATTGAGTCTTCTTTATGGAAACAACCGGCCTCAGGCCCTTGCACCCTTACCATGATTCCTGGCTTGTTTGTTCTGCTCATGGTTCCCCCTCGTCCCAAATCTCCCCCAGTACACCAGTTGTTCCTCCCCACCTCAGCCCTCTCCTGCGTCCTCCTGTCCCCGCAACGAAGGCCTGGGCTTTCCCACCCTCCCTCCTTAGCAGGCGCTGTGCTGGGACACCACATGGGCTGGTTTCACTTCCTCAGTCTCTTGCCTACCCCAGTGAGAGTCTGATCTTGTTTTTATTGTTATTGCTTTTATTATTATTGAGACTCTAGTTCTTGTTTTGTCTCTCTGAATGAAGAAGAATGTGTCTTCGTTAGGCCAAGTCTGCGGGAAGCCTGGGGCAGCAGCGTGAAGTGTTAGAGGAAGTGGGTTGGGTATGGGAGTTTCCATCTCCTCTCTGAGCCTGTCAGGGTGTTTGTGGAGAGCAGAACAGGAGCACCCTGTTGGAGAGGCCAGGGCATAGCTGTGGGCAGGCTTGGGCTTTAGTTTTTCCGTGCCCACCATTTGCCCCTTTGTCCTAGGGTACTTTAATGAGCAGGGCATGTTGGTGCCCATACTCCCCACCCTACATGTTCTCAGGTTCTGTCCCATGGCGCAGGTGATGGTGTCCCTCTGAGCTCTGGGTCCACCTCCCTGGCCTAGTTCTCCAGCATCTGCTCGCAGGTTCGAGCCACATCACTGAGCTTGAGGCGGGCATAGTCCACTCGCTTCAGAGCCATCTGACAGTCCTTCCTCGAAGAGTAGCTGGAGCCCTCATGGGGCTGCCCTGTGGCCACCTACAAGACAGACTATGAATGGAGCACCATCTCCTTTACCCTTACTCCAAGCAGGCATCAGGTCTCTTGTCTCATTTCTTACCTGAGTTTGAATTTGTTAGGCCACCTGGTAGCTGGATAAATAAATCATTTAACTTATGTTAATCTTGTCTGTAAAATGGGAGTGACAATAACTACTTCCTAGAGTTGTTGAGGATTAGATAAAATAATACAGAGTATCTGGCACACTGTAAAAATTAGTAATGGTAGCGATCCCTGCGACAAGTTCAGAATCTTCTCAATCCTCCCCCTCTTCTCAGGATATAAGGATCTGGGACCTCGTGGCCTTGAAGTCAGGCCAAGTTTCCAGTGACAAAGTTCTGTAGTTCTAGCATAATTTACACATCTCCCAGGCACATGTGATGTTACCCAGTGAGGTACGCAGGGCCACCTTTAATTCTTTCATTTTATGATTTATTATTTTTATTTTTTGAGACAGAGTTTTTGCTCTGTTGCCCAGGCTGGAGTGCAATGGCATGATCTCGGCTAAGTACACCTCCTGGGTTCAAGCGATTTTCCTGCCTCAGCCTCCCTAGTAGCTGGGATTACAGGTGCTCACTACCACGCCCAGCTAATTTTTGTGTATTTAGTAGAGATGGAGTTTCACCACGTTGGCCAGGCTGGTCTCGAATTCCTGACCTCAGATGATCCACCCGTCTCGGCCTCCCAAGGTGCTGGGATTACAAGAGTGAGCCACCGCACCCAGCCTAATTTTTATATTTTTGTTAGAGACCAGGTTTCACCGTGTAGGCCAGGCTGGTCTCGAACTCTTGTCAAGCCACTGCGCCCGGCCCATTCTTTCCTTTTAGAGGAAGAAACCGGCTCTGGACGGCCGGCTGGGGAGGTCTGGGCCTGCCCAGTTAATGCTCCACCCGGGATCACCCAAGGCTGAGGCTTTGACCCAGAGCTGGGGTCCGCTCGCAGCACCCTCCAGACACACCGACCTGGGTGAGGTAGCGGATCTGAGCCGACAGCTCCGCCTCCACGTGTAGCACTGAAGCGGTGAAGGCCGCCGCCTGCCGGTCTAGAAGCCGCTCGTTGGTTTTTTCCTTGGACAGTTCTAGGATGACAGTACCTGCCAGGGCGGAGAGAGGGAGGGGACACACGGAGACTGCCAGTGTAGCCCCGCCCTAGGGCCAGCCCCTCTCAATCCCGCCCTTTCGCTGCGCACGCACGTAGGAGTTCCTCCCCCAACCCCGCTCCAAGTGCCGGGTCAGCCTGTGCGTGCAGCCCGGCCACGCGTTCGCTCCCCGCCGTCCGGGTTGTCGCATCCCGAACCTGCATTCTGAAGGATGGCGCCGATTTCCCGTTCAATGTCTTCCAGGGCGCGTAGTCTCTCGTTCGCCAGACTATAGGTAGCCATCGTCACTCTGGGAATTCTCACCTGGAGTTTCTCCTGAGAAACGCGACGCTTGTTCCGGAAGTGGCTCTCGGTGTGCGCCTGCGCAGAGGGCACCGTGTAGGGAGCACTACAATTCCCAGGATGCTCAGCGCAGCCTCGCCCCCACTCGGTCCACCTGGTGAACTACAACTCCCAGGGTCCGCGGCGCCTCAGCCACAGGACCACCTATAGTCAGAGGCGACAGTGGAATATCTCCTCGCCCAAGGCCATTCAGACCTGTCCGCCTTCTTGACACCGTCTGTGGCCTCTATTTAGTTTATTATACATGAGTTTATTTATCAGAGTCTCACTCTGTCGCCCTGGTTGGAGTGTAGTGGTAAGATCTCT